ATTGCTTCACAAGGGGATATTTCATTAAAAAGACATTTCACACATTAGTTTCGTAGAATGCAATTGGCAGAAGCATGTGGCTTGATAAAAATGCAATTAAAATCAATTAAGAACCAGTAGCTGACTGAAAGATGTTTTTTTTTTCAAGGCGGAGTTGCACTCAAACTTGGTTTACAGTGCAGTGGGAGGGAGAAGGAAAGGGGGCGGAAGGGAGACAGCTGCACGTGACAGCTGTTGAAATTTTGCAATGACAACTAGATGCAACAAAGGTGCGAGCGGGAGGGAAGGTGGAAAGAGCGTGGGCGAGAGAGGCAGGTAAAGTCACTCGCGGATTGTTGTTATTGCCCGCTCTCCCTTTGGCACTCTCCCGTTTGGTTGTTGTTGTTGACATTGTTACATATTTATTTTGTTTTTGGTTTTGTTTAGCTCGTTTTGGGAGCACTTTCGATTTTCATTTTGGCGGCTTGTTTGCGGTTTTTTTTTTTGGTTTTTTTGTTGATATTGCTGATCGATTGCGGCTGCCTTAATTAAATTCCCGCACACACTCACACACCCGCGCAAAGACTTCACACATACGAGAGGCAGCAGCAGCAGCACAGAAATTATTTTCGCTCGGCAAAATCTTAAAAGCAACTGAACAAGACGCTCGACAACAAATGCCGTCGAAGCTGCGCGCACTCAACACTCAACAACTCACTCACACTCATAGTCACACTCACACTCGTACTCACACTCACACTCCCACTCACACTCACACTCAAAGCTAGCAACTCACTCAACATCGAAATCCATTTCGAGTGCAACTCTCGATCTCAGTTGCAAAACATTTACAGTTTAAGCAACAAACAGTAGCAAGAAGCAGCAGCATTAATGCACTTAGAAAAATAATAAATAGTATTTATTTATTAAATACTATATTCATAATTAGGTTTTAGAAAAAGTGTCAGACCATTATTTGCAATATATATATTTTTTTAGAAATTAGCGAAAATATATTTTTATTAAATAGTATGTTTAATTCGATATTTTAAACAAAAATTTGTTTATTGTTTTAATTTTTATAATCAGCTTTAGCTCAAACAAGAACAGTTACAGAAATGTTGGTATATACTTGTGCAAAAAAACTTTTACTCAATTTTTATAAATTGACACTTTTAAAACAAATTTGTCAACTGTGTGGTAGATTAAGCCCGGGGAACCAAATGTAACCAGAAAGTAATGGCCTTAATTAAAAAAAAAAACAACTTTCCGAAATAACATAAATAAAATTTGAAATATCTTTTTTCAAACCCAATTTTCATACTAATTTTGTTTGTCATTTTCAATAGAGCAGTTTCTTATTTAATGTTTTTTTCTTCAAAAGACCACAAATAAAACAAAATGTTTTCTTTGAAATTTACAAAAAAAAGTTTTTCCGAGTACACATAGGTGTTGAGTAATTATGGCCATTTGTTGTTGCGTAGGCGAGTGTGTCACATAGCTTGTGGCGCCACCTGACGTCCGCCTTTTCATTTGTATTTTACTCAATTCCCGAGTCTGTTGCCTTTTTGTTTTCTTTTTGGCCAAATGAATGAATCACTTGACTTTGAAAAGAAAACTAAATTTAGTAGTACACCAACAACAGCAACATACAGTCACAAATTGTTATGGCTTTTGTTCAGAATTAAGTGTTTTGTTTTATTCCTCTTGTTCTGTGTCGCTTTGATGGCGATTATTTTGACAATCGATCTCTTCAGTAAAGAATATTAGAATGTGAGCAATGAAAACAATAAAATTATGTGTTTCCCCGAACCCAATGCGATCTACGGATGCGTTGGATCACCGATATTCATCTGATTTCGGACCCAAGCATACTATTTACATACGTACGTCAATATTACCAAATGCTTTTGAACCAAAAAACACGAGAATCCTATGAGTTGTTTCAATTTTTAATTAAACCAAAATTATAGAATAAAGCAGACTTGTTTGGTAGGATACCCAAGGTTTTATTTCTCAATATATTTTCGCTGGGTTTAAATTTAAATTCACCCAAGTTTCTAAAAATTTGATAGTCATTTTTGGAAAACGTAGATCACTAAAATCATGTATATAGATTATCGGACGTTTTTTAGGTAAATTTGTATTTTCTGATGGCCCCGACCTGCGCCAATTCAAAGCCATGAAAACGGGTTCTGCTCCATCGATAAGCTCTCAACGTCGTTGTATTCCAATTTGTTATTGGCCCGCCCCAACTTCCTTAGTATCTGTAAAAACCTCTTTATGAGATCAACCGCCAATGTAATCAATCAATCGGATTTCAGATGCCCTGAGGTGATCACCTCGGCAATTAGAATATCTTGCGTAATGCCAACCCAAACAGGTGTATACTGTCACAACGAACACTACCAGACGAAAATTTAAATCAGAATTGGTTGATTTATAATGTTGCGATTAATGAATGCAAATATCCCTTTTGAGTTTTTAAATACAGTAGGCAGTTTGATTTTTATTTTGAAAGTTGTATGCATCAAATAATAAATCTTTTTATACTGAAATTAATAAACAATTTCGTCAACGCCTTTTGGTAATATAATTATAATTCCAAACTAACCGAACGGATTATGCTTGGATATACGTCTGTATTTCTTGGCAAAGTGTCGTGTCTGGTAGTAAATAGAACACGATTCGATTGAAAACCACTGACGCCCACCAACGATACTTGGATCGGATGCCGACTCAATGGGAACAATGATCTAATGATCTAATGAATGAAACGCGTAGTAAGGTCAGCGACTACCAGTCTACAGATTGTAAAGCGAATCCCACACCGCAAAACTAGACAGACTGTGGAGCTTACCGATTTTCATGTCAATCGACTGACTGTTTGCTCTCTGATCACTTGTTAAACAAAATCCGATGAAGACTGCACAACGTCGAAATGCAAACTGAATGGGGAATATTCAAATCGAGTGCTGACAACTGGAGAATGCGATGCGAGTGCAATCGAAGGTGTTAGTCTGTGTGCAATTAACATTACTCCAACCAGATGTAAACAAATATGCTAAGCAAATACACTTAAAAAAATATACATAAATAAATAGTATTTGATACATAATAAAATATAATATAATAGCAGAATATTTGGTAAAAACTATCCTATATCATGCAAAGCTGGCATATCAAGGAGGCATACGTTGTGGTACAATTTTCTTTCTAACTAACTAAGAGTAAACAATGTTTTTCTGAGTGTATGGCTAATTGGGCAGCAGGGCAAGCCTCCCGAAAGCAAAGAAAAGCTGGCAAGAGTATGCTAAATTTGTAAACTTTACATGCTATGCATTTGTATACACTGTAGTTTTGATTGCGTCATCTCCTGGGTGTTTGTGCTGCAATTGTTTACATTTTCTTTAATGATTATTTCCTATGATGCCTCATGATTTGAAATAGTCGTTTGTAAATCCAATGTAAAATTTTCGGGGCTATAACATTTTGTTAATCACTGCCGAAAAGACAGCTTATCCAACGAAACTTTTTCATTTTGTAAATTGTTCTCCTAAAAGTAGGCTACAATTTTTAATCTGACCAAAATATGATCGTTTTGTTTTCAAACTGGGGAGAAACGATTTTGCATTTATTCAAAATGTGTTCTTTAATTCCCCATTTTTTCAACATTACTTTGATAAAGATATCCTTTTAACTGTCGATATTTAATGTTAAATATTTTTTAATTTGGAAAAAAAAACTTAAAGTAAGGCTTGTCACTCAAAATTTCATTTCTATTCGTATTACCGAAGACCGAGTACCTCTTCAAATTCTCCCCTCTTAAGTTTAAATGCAAACCTTCTGAAGGCCAACACAGAACAAACAAAAGCAAGGAATAAAATGTATGCCAAAAAATTAGCAATTTTAATCCGAATTGATTGGTTTAACTCACCTTAAAGTCTTTGGTGCCAGAGCTCGATATTCAGTAAACACCGAAATGCTCAGGTTGACGGTTCTTTTTCTTATTCTACTGGCCATTGCTGAAATTGCATGGAGCCGTGAAAAGTTCACCATACAAGTTAACGAAGGTAATATTAGTTTAACAACAAAGAAAATTAAAATTAATTGACTTGAGTTTACATTATGGAAGACAATGCCGTTGGTGCTATTCTCAAGGCGGATCCCTTTGTGAAAATCAACGAAGGCTACTACTTTTTTGGAACGGAGTCCTTGAACTGGTACCAGGCGTATGAGAAATGCCGGGAACTGGATTCTGAATTGGTAACATTCGAAACAGACCAGGAGTTCGACGTCATTGCCGCCTATTTGATGGCCAACGATTCGCGCCAAAACTACTGGACTTCCGGTAATGATCTGGCCAAAACGGGAACCCACAAATGGTTTACTACTGGCGAACGAATAAGTTCTCTAAGATGGGCGCTCAACCAGCCCGATAACTACGGCCAGAGGGAGCACTGCATCCACCTGGGTTACATATACAACGACTCCAAAAAGTTCGAACTGAACGATCGCCCCTGCTCCGAGGCTGACAACAGTTTGTTTAAGTATATCTGCGAAGCTCCCAAGATGGAAACTATATCCATTGTGGTGTGGAAGTAATCTTGAGATGGTATTCAGGGGTATTCAGAATAAATGTTTATTGCATACTTTTTAAATACCGCATTTTCATTCACTGTTCACCCGAGAGGGGGGTTAATCAAAAGCAGTCGAAAAATATTGGAAAAACTTCGCTTCTAATTGAAGTTTACCTTCCTTACCCTGATAATAACTTTATATCGACTAAAGAACAAAACATTTTAAAACAATAAACTTTAATGAGTGTGTCAATATTGTTACACTTACAGGCATCCAATCAAGTGCCTATAATAAATTAAATACTATTTAGTTTACATAGTAGCTCAAAGCATAAGGTAAACATGTTTATCAAATTTAAACAGAATTATCGTTAATCGGTACTTTTCGACAAACAGGAAGGTTTATTTACTCTGATTAATAAAAGGTATAAATACTATACTGGACTCTTCCTATTCAGTTAGTCCAAAGCAAAATGTTAATGAAAGTAGTTGCAGGTTTTTTACTTGTCGCGAGCGTTGCTCTTGGAGTTTCTTACGACAAATACACCATTAAAATATTAAATGGTGAGCATTTTATACAGAAATATAATTATATTCTATGTAATATCCAATATTTTAGGGGACCCGAACAACGTAATCGTTAATTCAAGTCCCTTCATTAAGATCAATGAAGGGTTCTATTACTTTGGACAGGAAAGGGTTAATTGGCATGTCGCCGACGAGAACTGCCGCAAGTTGGGATCAGATCTGGTTTCCTTTGAAACAGCTCAAGAATTCGATGCCATTGCTGAATATTTAAAAAGCAAGGGAGAACGCACCGAGCACTGGACATCCGGCAATGACTTGGGAACTGAAGGCGCTCACAAATGGTATCCCAGTGCTACAAGAATAAACATTGATCGGTGGGCCCTTAACCAACCAGACAATGCTGCTGGAATAGAGCATTGCATACACATCGGTTACATATATCCCAACTCAGCGAATATGGAAATGAACGATCGTCCCTGCAGAGATCGCGAAAACAGCTTTTTAAAATATGTTTGTGAGGCTCCAAAACCAGAAACTATATCTATTGTTGTTTGGAAATAGAGGTGATTCAAAAATTGAATTTAAATATGAAGGGTGCTATCCAAAAAATTCTGTTAACAAGGCAGTTATTCCACTACTTTTTGCTATAATTAAAAATTTTTGAATAAATGTTTACAAAAAATAAAAAAATAATATTAATCTAAGAGCTAATAGGGGTATTCCCAAAAATTGGCTTAACTTATCGGACTTTTAAAGTAAGTATATCTTTGAATGCTTTTATCAGTAATTGTTATCTGTTCAACTGAAGCCATTCTGATTTCTACCTCAGTTGCGAATTGAAACTTGTTGAAAGATGTTCAATGTACTTATGCCATGTCTTGTTTTGTGGAATGCTCTACTTTTGGGGGCCTTCCCCTTGGATCGCCAAAGTAAGGGCTATAGTTATTACTAAAATAAATAGCAAACCCGATTTTTCAAAGTTTTTCCTTGAATGATATACAGTACTGAAAAAAACATGTTTTTATTAGGTATTGTAATGGTTGGTGGAAAGGATTACTACATTTCTCTGGACAAATCAAACTGGTTTGAAGCAACCAACCGTTGCCGTCAAAGGGATGGATTCCTATTGAATCTGGAGAGCCAGGAGGAACTAGAACTCCTTAGACCTTTCCTCCACCCAGCCTACAGCTACTGGCTATCCATCAATGATCTTGCAGTTCGGGGGGTATACGTATCGGAGGCTACTGGTCTTGAGGCCCCATTTCTAAATTGGTCCGCCGGACAGCCAGACAACAGCGATGGCGACGATCGGTGTGTGGAGCTCTGGCCATCGACAAGTTCCCAGTTTCGAATGAACGATCTATCCTGCAGAAGGTTGGTCGCCTTTACTTGCCAGTTAAACTAAAATCACCAATTTCCGACCAGGAACTTTATTTTTACCTTTTTGAAGTCGTATTAAACGGAAACACAAATCTGTTTAACAATTTTTTTTTATAAGAAAAGGTGACCATGTTCAGGGATTTACAAGTTTTAATAATCAATTTTAATCAATAAGTTTTTATTGATAGTAGCACCAATACTTGTCAAAGTGACAACTTACACTACTTATACCACTATCCCAGGGTTTACATTTTTATCAGTTTGTTACTGATTGCCAATCTCGTTGATTGACTACTTCCCAGTAGGTTTTTTATAACCAATTTCCAGAAACTTGTTATTATTATTATTATTTATTGTTTAGACTTCCTAGCGCTAAAAGTTCTAAATCTTATAAATTACTGCGTAAACTGGTAAACATATTTAAATTTGGACAAAAATGTTGGTCTACATATGTTATCATATTTATTTTACAAAACCAAACAATGCACTTTAAAAGTCTATCATCATAATCAAATTTATTTAACTGTAATGTTTGAGAACACACTGCATATTTTCCCTTAGGAATACTTACATCCTGGCAGGATACCCTTGCTCCGAACTGTGCGATAAGGTTGACGCGCACCAGGATCGATCTTTCCATACATTGTTCTATCCATGGTTTCCAACGAGATTTACTTGTTTTACTCACTGATTTGATTGAAACGTTACTGATTAATCAAGGAACTGTTTAGTGACATTTTGTGTTCTAAAAATCTTCAGGTTTTACTGATGTTGTTGCACTGCGGCCGGTAAAAAAAGTTTCATTTGAATTATTTATAAGCGCATTTTTATTTTTGGCCTTTCGGGGCTCGACGACGGATTTGTTGTTTTTGCTTGCGTTGAGTTAGCCTGTCAGAGTGGATATTGTAGTTGTCGTTGTCGATGTTGTCGTTGTCTTTGCCTGTCTATCAGAGCTTTGCCCCAGTCCACAAACAAAATATAAAAAAAAACTAGTTCCCTGCCCCCAGTGGAAGTCCAAGTGATTTGATGATGGAAATTGTTGTCTGGGGAGTGCTTTGTGCATTCGAAATTTGCTATTAATTGACTGAGACTGACAAAATACGGCATTAAAAGATTAAAGGGATACCGTGAAGAGTGAGAGATCTGTGATCATAGGTGTATGATGCAATCTTTGGGACGAATATTAATAGATATGGTCGAAAAAAAAACAAAATTCGTCAATATATCATTCTTGAAATTTTAAAATGTAAATACATAAGAGTTTTGTTAACTCCAATAAAATAAAAAAGTAATAAAAAATTTATAACAGAGTTCATGCCTATTTAGTGATCTTTAAAACTACGTGAACACGGAGATCGGTCCATAAAGAGTAATCACTGAAGCTATCTCCTAATTTATGTGATCTAAAGATCAAAAGCCATCAAAAAGATCGATAAATTAGATCAGCGGCCACCAAGAAGCGGGAAAGACGTAATATCTGAAACATTTACTCAGACTCCCTAATCCAAAGTGTGTGGGTGAATCCCAATAGATGATCTATGCAACTAACAAAATTTACGATGGTCTATAGATTTAGTTGAGCCAAAAAGATCTATAAAGACAGATTTATGGAATCATAAAAATACCAAAATGAACGTGCAGGCCACATTTTACATTTGTTTCAAACAAATAACGACACATTGAAAGAAGGTAAAAAATAATAAACATAAATTCACCGACTAAAACAAAGCGAAGCGGACCAAAAATACTAAAATCGGTGAGGGAACGGGGAATCAAGGTTGCCAAATTACGTCAACACCATGATCGCCATCTAAATATATCCAAAAGAAAGAAAAAACAGAAAAAAACATTTCTAGCAAATCAAAGGCGACTTTTCGTCGTCTTGTGAAGGGAGAACTAAACTAGTAAAAATGGGGGAAATTAATTGAAAATACAGCAAGAGATTTCCGCAGAGCGTTGCCAAAAAATAGAAGCCGAGAAAAAATAAAATCTCACTTTCCTTCCAGATCTTTGCCAAAGCAAGACCATTTTCCGAATACACCTGAGGCATTACTCAGTCTATTTAGGATGACGTCGGGGCAGAAATTGTGGGTAATTGTTTTCGGCCCCGTCTTCCTTCTATATTTAAAAGTCAAAGGCACGATTTCGTTTCTTTCGCAGGAAATTCCAAGCGATCGACCGTCGGCTGATCGCCACGATCTCAATATAAATATTTTATTAGTAAGTAGATAAAATGTGTGTGAATGCGAGTGTTGACCTTGCTGAAGGCGCTAAGGTGAAAAAGCAATGCGTGCCCAGAAAATAAAGCCCAGGGAAAATTCATGTGGGTGATATTGATCGCAATGGGCGATCTCTTTCCCGGTTAGTGGCCTTTGGCCAGGTCTTACGATAAACTTGGCCAATTTATGCCGCTGTAAAATGTATTTTTCACATTCCACTACTGTGAAAGGGCGGGAAAAAAGCGAAGAAATATCGCCCACTGACTTTTGTGGTCGTTGCTGTCTTGATAAGATAAAGGGTCTACTGAAAAGAGGCCCACACGATGATCAAATTACGGCTGAGCAGATTAAAGACTTTTCTGAAATTAAAGATCGAAATTTTTCGATTGGTTCAATAAAAGCTTAATTGCCTCTATTTGTTAAGAATATTTTAAAGCAATTGATTGTCAATTTATGTGAATTATAAGCGATACTGGAAATTGTAAACTTGTACTCAATAGCAATTGCTCAATAGCTTTAGGTTTAATTTGAATACTTCAAAGATTTGCTTGGAGATTTATATTAGTTTAACATTGCATTAAACAAGCTTTCTCTCCCTTTAAATATTCCCTCTATTCTTAAAATGTCAGGCAAATAAACTCGCTGGGAACAAAAAATTATTTCCGAATTCTATCTATTGGAAAAAACATTTATTTTGGGTCCCAGTTTGCCACTCATCTTTCTCAAGCAATCGAAACAACACACTCTAATTGAAATTTGATGACTGGGAGATAAGAATCTATTTTTTTAATACTAGAAAAAGGGGGAGCAATATGGGGGGACTGCTGAACAATCGAAAATCAAACAGAACCTGGCGATGAACTCATTGCATTACGAATACAGAGAGGGAGAATCTGGAGGTGCTAAGTAGCTGGGACTAAAACGGGCTTTGAATTGACAAACGAAACTCAAAAAAAGAAGAATTACGGGAAATAATCCAGAGATCAGTGATCTGTGAATAGTTTGCGGTTTCATATTGGATCATGAAAGACAAAGACAACAGCTGTCTGGTAGTAAACCAATGGCATGAACTGAGCGTATCTTTCAGATAAAAAGATATTGGGGAGAAAAACGAAAACGAAAGCGATTCTCGTAAGTGCAGAACTCAAAACAAAATGTTTGTTTGTGTGCACTGTGTCAGCCGAGTTTACATCATTTTCCAGCATTTCCATTTGCTGTCGTAACTCGAGTTACTTTTATGGGGAAGGGGACGGAAGTCCCCCCATTATAAATGCACTTGGCTTCGAGTGCTTGAAATATGTGAAAAATGTCATAATTTTAATAGATTAAGTGGGCACATTTTAATTGGTTTTGTTGTTCGTTGTTATTGTTATGTTATTTTCAGCATTTTGGTCCAGAAAAAAAATACCAAATGAATTTTCATCTCATCGCCCACCATTTTAATCCGTTTGGGGCCCCGAGGCGAAAATTAATGGGGATAACCAAAATTCTATGCTCTGCCAGATCTAGGCAAATAAGTCATATATTTGAATGTCTTGTCCGTTGATAATTAGTTCCATAATTAGTAGGAATGCTAATGAAATTGAAATGTTTTTCGAACCACTTGCTGAAAAGATTTGCCAAGAATTAGTGGAATCTTAAGGCGAGTGACACGAAACCATTAATCTTGGCAAAGATTATTTTTTTATTTTTATCTAGCTGCTACTGGCATTCCTGTTATATCGCGTATATCAGTCTTATACTATCTCTTGATGTTTGTCAACTTTTTACTGCAGATTTTCCTTACACTCGCAGTAAACAATTTCCCACGCTCCAACCTGCCACAATATCACTAACACAGTTCCAATGATTTTTCATCAACTTTTTCCCGCTTTAGTTTTCCGCCGATCACTTGATTGATTGCCTTTGTTTTGGTTTGGCTTTGTTTGTTTTATTCTCAACCGTGTTATCTGTGCACTTTAGCCTGCATTTTGGCAGTGTGTTGTCACATATTTTATTTATTATTCCTAGAGATCGTAGGACTCAGCTGGGAGACCGAAAACCGAGAGACCCCTATAAAGCACACGCGCTGCGCTCGCGTTTCAGTAAGAGCGTCGCAAACGACTGAAATCCAAGGGGGCCCCAAATGCTCGGGCTCCATTAGAAGAGCTCTCCGGCTCTCGTAGTCGCTCGTAGAGAGCGGAAGACCCAGAGAGCCCCAGTGTTTGAGAGCAGGTAAACAAACTGCACTCGAAAAAATTACTATAGTGTGTAGATCTATTAAAATATTTCATAATACTTCAAAAAACACATGTACTTTACATAAAGAACCAGATGTGTAATTATAGTAGTATAGATCTCTTAAGACAGGGATTTCCAAAGGTACACCAAAATTCAATAATAAATCAATAATACTGTGGAAGAGCTTTCACTTTATTATCACATACACAGAGAGAATTCCGTCGTTCTCATCTGAGTTGAAAATGTACTTAAAAATTAAACGAAATTTTCGAAGTTAAAAATGTTTTCATTGTGCTTAAATCAAGTTGAGTTGGCGTTACTTACAATGTATATCTTAAAAACTAAACTATTAATCCAGTCAGTAGTTTAAACTTATTAAAAAGTTGCTTAATAAACTCAATTTAATTTTTTTCTTCGTTCTTATATTGAGAGCATTGATGCCAAAATGCACTTGCACGATTTTTAAGAAAAACAAGGAAGAACGCTATAGTCGAGTACCTCGACTATCAGATACCCGTTAGTCAGCTAAATGGAGATATGCAAGCAGCAAAGCGAGATTAAAATGCGCCACCTACCGGAGGTAGACAGATTTAAGCGTTATGGGCGTTAGAGTGGGCGTGGCAAATTTATTTTTGGATAAATCGATAGGTATTGACGACACCAATACATTTCAGTTAAAATTTTTTATGTAGCATGGAAATTGTGGGCGTCACAGGTTTTCGCGGTTTGTGGGCGTTTAAGTGGGCGTGGCAAACTTTTTTTTAGGTCAATCGATAGGAATTGATGAGAACAATACATTTCAGTTAAAATTTTTTATCTAGCATCAAAACTGTTGGAGTTACAGTTTTGGGCGGTTTGTGGGCGTTAGAGTGGGCGTGGCAGTCTACTGAAACAAACTTGCGCTGCGTAAGAAGCTCAGAAATCTGTACGCCAAATCTCAATAGCCTAGCTCTCATAGTTTCCGAGATCTCAGCGTTCATCCGGACAGACAGACGGACAGACGGACAGACGGACATGGCTAGATCGACTCGGCTAGTGATCCTGATCAAGAATATATATACTTTATGGGGTCGGAAACGCTTCCTTCTGCCTGTTACATACTTTCCGACGAATCTAGTATACCCTTTTACTCTACGAGTAACGGGTATAAATATTCTCAATTCAAGAACACTATACTTGAATATTTCTCTTGGCGTGAAAGAAATTAGTTACTTATTAAAAAAAAAACCTTTTTAGATTCTTTATTTTTATCTAAACCGATTTAAACTTCATAATAGAGCCTTTGCAATTTCTGGTTAGGTTAGTTTTTCTGAGTGCCAAGAGAGCCATTTAATGAAGAGAGTAAGAGCAGGAACCGTTTTCGCTATAAAGTCGCTTTTCATTCGCTTTTGGAGTGGCTTTTCATTTTGCATTGCAGCCTGTGGCGGAGCATTTCGACCGCAAGTGGGAGGAACAAGAAAAGCGAACCAGAGCGGACAAAATTATTGTCGCCCATTTGGAGCTTTCCTTTGGGTGAGAGAACAGTGGGCCAGTTGCCAATAAAAACGACCTTTTCTATTGTCAACAAAAACACAAAACGTGAGTGAAAAACAAATAAAATCAATATATGTTTTTATACGTTTCTTACAAATTGACAATGTACTTACATTATAAAACCCACAAATCATTTATACATGGTGCCACAGAAATAACATAACCGCTATGTCGTGTAAAATATATATAGATATATATAGATGTACATAAGAAACTTTATAGATTACTTAATGTTAATGTTATTTAAATGTTGAAACAAAATGCCTTTAATGACGTTATTAACTGATCTCTGTCTTTAGAAAAACAGAAATTGTAAACAATGAGTATATTGAATTTTTAAAGCTTGATGAGAAAGTTCAGGAAATTCAAACAACTATTCTCAGTTACACATGGGAATTTTCAACGTACTGCTAGTATACCACAGCTTTATAAACATATTGTTTGCACTGCAAACTTCAAATATGCAGGAAGTAAATAACTTTTAAAGATGTTTTGTATTTCTCACAATATCTTATTTAAATAATTTCAATGCTTATTCAATGGTTGTTATTCAGGTATAACTTTAAACAATTATATACATTTGTTGGGGAATATTTAAATACAAATGGTAAACCCTTCGTGCCACTGTGCACGCCTCTTTCCCAACCACTATTGCATTGATCTGCAGTTGGAGTATTACCCTCGGTGGAAGACGCCGTCGACCCCAAGGCCCAGACCTAACCGATCTCGACCGATCATCTCGTCACTGCTGTTACAGTGCGCACACGCAACACGAACAGAAGACGTTGCGTGTCGAGTGGGCGATGAAGTGGGCGCACACTCACTAATGGCTGTAAAGCACAATTGATGCAATTGCAGCCGGTGATGAAGATCGAGAAGGAGATGAAGATCAAGCCCCAACTTCCTGTGCGAACCCATTGACAATTATGTAGAGTGAAACTTGTTGGGCTAGGAAATTGAGTTGCAGATTAAAAACACCTTTAAAGGTTCAGAAAATATAAGACTTTCACAGTCCGTTAGTAGATAAAAGCTGATAGTAAAGGATAGTTTATTCTGCTTCGGGTATATCCCATATCTTATCTTAAATATCTTAAATGGTGATGGCAAATCCCTCGCATTTAAGTTTTCAAGGATATAACACCACTGTGCGTAGGTGGAGTGTCAGTCAGCTGGAATGTTTCGAGAGTGTTTGTGACCTGGCCTTTAGTCATTTCTGAAGAATGTCTGGGCAGAAAAAAAGAATAACAAGATTACACACATATCCACATGGAGAGTTGGCTGCACTTCCACGAGCGAGAATTTCTTCATCTTTTTTCTTACTTTATCGAAAGACATTCTGAAGAACACGCAGAGAGACTGTAAACAGCGAAGAATTGTGTCATAAAGAAAATAAAGTAGACGACATATACACTTTTATTTTGCTGATGGTGACTAAAAGAGCGCTGTGAGGCAGCAAAAGAAAACAAATAAAGCTTCCCGGCGAAACAGCTCGCTCTCTCAGATCAAATCATTCACTAAAGTCCAAGGGTTTCGAACTTGGAGCTAAAAAAAACCACACCCTCTTCGCATTGTGAATGATCTCACACTGGAAGTGGGGGCCTCGATGTTTTTATGTTCGATTTCCAGGTATTCGGATAAATCATAAAACTGCAAGGAATGCCAAAATCGGGTTAAACGAAGTTTGTTATAATGTGTGAGAGGCACGGGAAATATTCCTTTATACAAATGTAGGGACTTAGAGATAAGACGTGCACTTGGAATTCATCATCCAGAATTTGTACGGCACGTAACACAACCATTTTTAATCGTGATTAATGCTCTGTATGCTAACGATAAGAATTTCGAAATACAGTAAATATTGGTCGAAAAACAACATTGCTGCATTTATAATTTTTACAAATATTTTCTTTTTGTTCCTCATCCAACATTTTTGTATATCTTCTATATCCCTTTGTACACTCATATCATAAAACCTTTATTGCTTTCATATCGATTTATAGTGGATCAAAGTTTTTTTTTGTTTACTTTAAAATATTTTTGACTCATATATATTTATTTAATAGCACTGTGATGATGAACTTATGTAAACAGGAAATTGATTCATATAAATTCCCAAATCCGAGGTGAATGACAAGTCAGTAAATAAACAAGAAGGTTATCTTAGCCACTCTTCACTGTAAGCGAAAATTATTCATCCGTGAGATTTCCGACTTTCGGTGTCGCCACCTGGTGGACAATGTGAGGACAACCCGCGGCATACCAATTAACTCCAATTAACGACTGACCTTGAAGTCGAAGCTTTATCTTTGTGGCTTTTGCCTACGTCACAGTTTTCATGCTGCGGAATTCTTCAACTTCAGGAAGTCTCTGTTTTCCTTTCGCTGAGGAAAAGTGGACCGACTTACCCAAATCATCCATCGCGTTTAGTTGTTTTTGTTCAGCTCTGTGTATTGGTGTGTGTTCTCCGCTCTTCTCCAATTGGAATGCTCAGTTTTCCGGATTTATTTGGCACAGGCACACGCGTTTTTAATTGATGCTGATTGGAAGCGAGGAGCGACAAATCCAAGCCAACAATTTCGTATTGGTTTCTTGTTTCACTCGCGACTCGAAAACCGCGGAGTTGGAATCGCGACTAATTTTAAGCTGTTGCCAGCGGCCGAATGGCGTGTATCCGTGGATTTCGCCGCGAGTTGGAGACGAGTTTTATATATGAATCACTTTAATTTTGGAGCGGCGGTCATAAACAATACAAAAAAAAACATTGGAGCACGTACACGTACACAGGCGAAAACACAAACACACACACCCGCTCAGTTGGGCAACGCGAGAGAGCCAAAACAGCTGATTGCCTATCGATAGCGGTCTATCGGAATCGTTGGAACTATCGCAGCGTCGCCAATAGAAACAAGTGGTAAACTTAACTAAAATACTTATAAAATAATTGTAGATAACACTTAGTGGCTTAAAAAATATACCAGCTTGGAGGTAGAATAGGTTTTCTAAAATGTAGAGTTAAAAGATTTTGTGTACTGTGGAGAAAAAATAATTACAGCTATGTTCAAAATAATAGTAGTGATCACAAATAAAATTAATAAATGTTTAAGGTAAATGATTATAGCATTATATTCATAAAATCGTTACAAAATATTTCGTATTACCTTAAAACAAATTATTAATATTTTTGTTTTAAATTTTTAAAAACATGTTAGTAGCACTATAATTTTGAACACAGTTACATACTTATATTATGGTATTGGCATGCTTTCTAATTAGTAAGACTTTCATTAATCAAAGGTTTAAAAGTCTCCAAGAAGCTTACTATTTAAAACCAACTGAAAAATACCAATGCGTTATGTCTTTCTGTTTATAAATTGCCTTTTATCTGTGGTAAACAATGATTAGTTAACAATCTGCAATATATCTCGCATTTCAGTCTATATAAAGATTAGGCCGATCTAGACGTGAATGAGAAATGGAAAAAAGAAGTGAGGCGCCGATAAAAAGCACAAAGTTTCGAAAACTGAGCGATTCTGACATGACGGAAGTGCAGCTAAATAATTTGGTGGACCCAAAGGATAATGTCGAGATCGGTAGTTCCCAGGGAAATGCGGACTCCAGAAACAGTCCTGTTCAACACTCGAAATGGTTTAGATCCAGACTCTTTATCATATCTATTGTTTTCTCGGCCCTCCTGATAACAGCCATGTGTATTGGCTTTGTCGTTCACTATGGAATGTCCGGCGATGTGGGCGACATGGAAACGGTGACCTATTGGCCCGTACAGCTACCCAAGGAGCAACAGGAGTGGTACGATCAAGGAATAGATGAGCTCAAGAAGGCCGTTTCCAGGGAATTCAATCGTCGTCGAGCCAAGAACGTGATTTTATTCGTGGGCGATGGAATGGGACCGAATACGGTGACAGCAGCACGTATTTATGGATTCAAGGAGGAGGGACTCCTCAGTTGGGAGCAGTTTCCGGACATGGGACTATTGAAGACCTATTGCGCCGACAAGCAGGTTCCGGATTCTTTCTCCACAGCCACGGCTCTTTTTGGGGGAGTCAAGGTGAATTACGAAACAGGCGGAGTGGACTCCAATGTGCCGCTGGGCAACTGTACCGCCTCGCTGCAGGAGGATCACCATGTTCAGACAATCCTTAAGTGGGCTCAGGTGGATGGAATGCGCACGGGATTCGTGACCACCACCCGGGTAACTCATGCCACTCCGGCTGCCCTCTATGCCCACGTGCCGGATCGTCGCTGGGAATGCGAAACGGGAATGCCAGCAGAGGCTCGGGATCAGGGCTGTATGGATATAGCCCGCCAGCTGATCGAACAGCCCACGGGTCAGAGAATCAATGTAATCATGGGAGGTGGTCGCCAGATGCTCCTGTCAAATGTCACCGATTCACCAGCGGATCCTCTGGACACTTGGGCCAGTTCATCAAAGGACGGACGAAATCTTATCCGGGATTGGAGGCTTAAGAAAGAGGATGAGGGTGTGTCCCATGCCATAGTCCAAAATAATCGCGAGCTATGGAATCTCGATGGTCAGAATGTTGACTACGTACTGGGCATTTTCGCCAATGGACATTTGATGTACGATCACGAGCGAGATCAAAGCGAAAACGGCATGCCATCCCTGTCCAATATGACCCAGAAAGCGCTCGAGGTTCTGGGAAACAGTGATAAAGGATTTTTGCTGGTAGTGGAAGCTGGCCTAATCGATCAAGCCCACCATCGGGGAAATGCTCGAAAGGCACTTAATGAGGTCCTGGAACTAAACAAGGCTGTTGAGTCTACGCTTTCCTTTCTGAAATCCACTGATCGTCTGGACGAAACGCTGGTTATTGTGACCGCCGATCACTCGCATAGCCTGACCATTAACGGACATCCGGATCGAGGAGCCAGTATATTGGGCTTGGCGGGCAATTCAAAGACAGAACAGACGCCCTACACCACGCTAACGTATGGCACTAGCTATCAAGGATTTCAGGTGGATCCCAACACTCAGAACCGCAGGGATCCAACGGGTGACAATATATCCGATTGGGAATACACACAGCAGGCAGCTATAAATACGGACGAAAATCTGCACGGCGGATCGGATGTTACGATTCACGCAGAGGGCGCCATGTCCTATCTGTTCCACGGGGTCCACGAACAGAGCTACGTAGCCCACGCCATTTCCTACGCTCTAAGAATCGGACGTTTTCGGGATAGCTCTATTGCCGAAACTCTGGCTGAATTCACCCCTATATAGAATAATTTACCCTCAAAAATGTTAAGAAATATGTATAAGGAAAATATTTTGCCAAGCTTACAAAATTTAGAGATAGAATTTGAAAAAAGGACTTAAGATTAAGTAATGATTTACCAAAATGCTGCAGAAGCTAAAAAGTGACCTTCAGGCTTGAATACCTATAGAGTATGAAGGATTTTAAGGAATGAGATCGTTGAATACATTTTATTATAAAAACTTGAAATATGAATTTTATTCGCTTCCTTTCGTTTGTTATAAATCGATCCTACCGTTCGGTTGTTTATGCAGTGAAACCTGTAATAAATTTCATTATCTTAACAGGCAACATAAAGATTGCTTTAGGTTCTAAAGTTTAGAAGCTAACAAAACGTGATCTTAAAGGGTTGTGTCTGTAAAAATAAACGTAATTAATAAACCTGTATTCATTAAAGATGACTGTTTTATTGTATTTTTTTAGTTAAAAATGGACTTGATGCAACTGAACGACGATTGTCTGAATATAATATTTAGCTACCTTAGATTAGATGAACTACTGCAGCTGTACAATGAAATTGAATGTTTCAATGCGGCCATCGAAAGGCAACTCCATCGATTTAGAGATTTCAAGTTCAGCATGAGACAACCTCCAGTTTTCAACGAAGACCTGTTGTCCAAGCTGGGTAACCATCTGAACAGTCTGCACATCAACGTGGGCTACTCCACCAAGGACGAAGATGTCCTCCGATACCTGAATCCTTTATGCCAAGGAGCCTGTGAGACTCGCCGATTGAAGGCTTTAAAGTTGGACCATGCCAAGTGGTCTTTTAATATGATAGAAGCCGTGGGTAAGGTGGTTCCATCTTTGTTCTTTTTGGACATGCGCCACTGCGATGTGCGGGATTACCAGATAGCGCAGCTCTTGGAATCGGCAGATAAGTTAAAGGCCCTCGCTCTGCTCCATGTGAACAATCAGACGGGCGATTCGTATCTGCAACCCCAAATACTCAACAGGTTGCCATCCTTAAAACTCATCCACATAACAATCCTCGGACCAGTTCCCTTTTCCCCCGAAGATTTGGCACAGCAGTGCCCGAACCTAAGTTTCCTCATAACCGACCTTATCAAAAGCGATTTCAAGATATATGGTCCACCTGCTTACATTCAGAACTATTATAAATACTACAACGACTATTTCAAGACGCCTTAACGACTCGTGAAGCACTTGAAAAAAATATCTCAGTGGAATTGTCTTAGTCAGTAACTACATAGTTATATAAATATTTTCTTAGTCACTTAGTATACAGAAGGATCTTTTAAATGCATTTAAATAAAATTATCTATTTTGTACAATATATTAAAGTTACTTTCCTTTTCACCCAAAATAATTTCTTTAGTGTATAATATAATTAAATAGTTTTATTTATTTACGCTTTGAAAAGACTATTTTAAGTTTTCTTGTCAAATTTAAACACAAGAAACGGTGATAACTGCAAGTATTTCAGGACTAAGGTTAAATAAGTTTGATGATAAATTCGGTAAGAGCATTTATTTATATCTCAGCACCTGGAATCGGCAGACACGTTGGAAGTCTTCGGTTTCTTTCATATGGACAGTACTACTCGAGGATCAAACTTCTACCCTCAATTATTCAACAGGTTGCCGTCCTTAAAACTCATCCATATCACAAGCCCAGCTCCCATTTCCGATAAGAATGCAACTTAACAATTTCCAAATCTGACTTTCGTTATCAGTAGGCTAGTCGACAGGGAACTCAATATATTTTAATTATTATAAATACCAAAAACATAGATTCGCCTGAATCATTTAAAATAGGTTTTATAAGTGCTACTTACAGCCTTTTATAGCGATTATCTCTAGGCAATAAATATATATCTCATATTTTTGAATTATCTTATTAATAGTATTGTTTTCCATTTAAAGAGGGAAATGTGTACATATATTAATATATTGTTCTGTAGAAGAAAACATTCCTTCTATCAAATTAGGAACAAGTATATAGTTAGGTTAGTTAAAATAGACGATAGAAAGGAAATACTAAATAACGGTACAACATTCAAGCAAGTGTCATATGGCCATAATTGAGATACTTCAGACTTGGTATTTTTTTGCTGAGTTCGATAGTATCGATTCGCATTTTCTACCATCTCTATTTCATGCCGGCATGCAATGCGAAAACTGACGAAATAACAACCTTATAAATTGCAACCGACTAGCTGACAAAGAAAACCCCCAGAGACCAGGATGGTGGTGCGTCCCTACAACGATGAGCTCAAGTACCTGGAAAAGGTGAGCGACCACTGCTGGCGGATCAAGAAGGGCTTCCAGCCGAACATGAACGTGGAGGGGTGCTTCTACGTGAACAGTCGCCTGGAACGCCTGATGCTGGAGGAGCTGAAGAACTCGTGTCGCCCGGGAGCAGTCGGTGGATTCCTGCCCGGAGTCAAACAGATTGCCAATGTGGCTGCCCTGCCGGGAATTGTGGGTCGGTCCATTGGACTGCCCGATATCCATTCCGGCTACGGATTCGCCATTGGCAACATGGCCGCCTTTGACATGGATGATCCCCTGTCCGTTGTGAGTCCCGGTGGTGTGGGCTTCGACATCAACTGCGGTGTCCGCCTGCTGCGCACGAATCTCTACGAGAAGGATGTACAGCCCGTGAAGGAGCAACTTGCGCAGTCCCTGTTCGATCACATCCCCGTGGGCGTGGGATCAAAGGGCATTATCCCCATGAATGCCCGCGATCTGGAGGAGGCCCTCGAAATGGGTATGGACTGGTCGCTGAGGGAGGGCTATGTCTGGGCGGAGGACAAGGAGCACTGCGAGGAGTACGGCCGAATGCTGAATGCCGATCCCGCAAAGGTCAGCATGCGGGCCAAGAAGCGAGGACTGCCCCAGCTGGGAACCCTGGGTGCGGGCAATCACTACGCCGAGATCCAGGTGGTGGACGAGATCTACGACAAATGGAGCGCCTCCAAGATGGGCATCGAGGAGACGGGCCAGGTGGTGGTGATGATTCACTCGGGCAGCCGCGGTTTCGGTCACCAGGTGGCCACCGATGCCCTGGTCCAGATGGAGAAGGCCATGAAGCGGGACAAGATCGAGACCAATGACCGACAGCTGGCCTGCGCCAGGATCAATTCGGTGGAGGGACAGGACTATCTGAAGGCCATGGCTGCGGCGGCTAACTTTGCCTGGGTCAATCGCAGCTCCATGACGTTTCTCACCCGCCAGGCCTTCGCCAAGATGTTCAACACCACCCCGGATGATCTCGACATGCATGTAATCTATGATGTATCTCACAATATTGCCAAGGTGGAAAACCACATGGTGGATGGCAAGGAGCGGAAGTTGTTGGTCCACCGCAAGGGTTCCACTCGCGCATTTCCCCCACACCATCCCCTGATCCCAGTCGATTATCAGCTCACTGGGCAGCCTGTTCTGGTGGGTGGAACCATGGGCACCTGCAGTTACGTGCTGACCGGAACGGAGCAGGGAATGAAAGAGACTTTCGGAAGCACCTGCCACGGAGCGGTGAGTTTTGAAATTCAGTTGTGAACCTGTTGTTTATGTTATCAATACCCATCAATGGGTATTTCGCACTCAATTGCAAACTGCAAAAGGGAGTCATGTTTCTGACAACCGTATCCTACAAAGCAGCTCTTTGATAGCGCATTATTTGTACATATATTATTTGATAAGGGTGAAGAAAACATGTATATTCTTTATTTATTTTACTTTATCGCTTAATATATATGTTGTTTCTGATCCTTAGGGTCGCGCCCTCTCCCGTGCCAAATCCCGCCGCAATCTGGACTACAAGGAGGTGCTGGACAAGCTGGATCAGTTGGGTATCGCCATTCGCGTGGCCTCGCCCAAGTTGGTCATGGAGGAGGCTCCTGAATCCTACAAGGACGTTACCGATGTGGTCGACACCTGTCACGCGGCTGGCATAAGCAAAAAATGCATTAAAATGCGACCCATTGCGGTCATCAAGGGCTGATTATTAGTTACTTTTATGATTAAATCAATAAAGATTTATAATTTATAATAATACCTGTAACTTAAGATAATTATTTAATTTTTGAAAATTCTATCCTTATTCAAAAATGGATCGTTATTTTTTTTGCCATTCACTGAGAAGCATCCAAGCATTTTATTTTTGAATCAAGCAGTTCTAGGAGATTTGCAAGCAGTTCGACAGCTGACAGTTCCCATTTGTTTTGATTTGTTTATTTTTTGGTTTTTGAATCATCACATGGAGCCCATTTGTTCGCTAATTCATTGACTGTTTTGTTTTGTTATTAATTGTTTTCAAAATTTTATCATTAAAAATGGATAGTATTAATGAAGATGTATGGATAGTTATTCTGAAGTTCCTGCCCATGAGTGATCAGTTGTCACTGGCCCAAGTGAACGAAAGTATTGCATCCTATGTGAAATACCAATGGAAACATCTGAAAAGAGTGACTTTGACCCGAGAGGATCTGGAATTTCTGGACAGGAATGAGGGTTAGCTTCAGTGTTGATCGTTTGATTCCCTACTAATCTCAATATGCACTTAGAACTGATGCAGGAATGCCTGGGCGGTTGGTCGAGATCGGTGGAGCGCCTACATCTACCCAATGCCAGTCGGGATCTGCTGAGAAAGTGGACGGAGTACAGCTTTCCCCAGCTCAGATCGCTCGACTGCCACATGGACTACAATCTCGAGGAGGCCGACGAGGAGACCCTTCTGCTGACCGAGCTGTTCCCGCTCCTGACCAGTCTCACACTCAATAGCAGCACCACAGGACGCTATTTGTGGCAATGGTCAGATCTCAAAGAGCTGAATCTCATCTGGTGCGAGTACCTGGAAACGGACACCTTCGAGCAGATCTTCGCCAGCCTAAAGCTGACGAAGCTGACCCTGCTCTACTACGGTTATAATGTGAATCTGGGCCAAAAGGTGCTGGCTATCACTCGATGCTCAACGCTGGAAGAGCTGATCCTCGACGACCACCACTTGCTAGGGGATTTCCTCACCCGGTTGATGAATCTGCCGCACTTCCGCCGCCTGGCCTTCTACACGCGTGACTACTATGAGTTCCTACTGAGTTCGGTGGCCAGGCACAAGCCACTGAAGGTGCGATCGTTGCTCTTCAACGACTCCTTCTGGAGCAGTGAACGTGTGGCGGAAAGTATCATGCGCATGACAAATCTTCGACGACTGGTACTGCAAGAGGATGACATAGATTCGCAGCAACTGCACGCCATCTGCCACAAGTTGCCGCAGCTGGAGGAGCTGCACCTGGTGCAATTGCGCGAAATACCTTCGCCCACCCATTTGTGGAACTCTATAAGTCTCTGCCCCAGTCTAAGGATCCTCAACTTGTCGTCTACCAAGTTAAGTTGCCATTTTTTGTATGTCAGCCACTCACGCCTCTCCCAAGTTCTGATTAATCGCAGTTCTCCGCTGACCATTCATCTCCACAACACTGGTTTGGTTCCCGAAGTGGTACGTTTACTTGGATTAGTAGTAAAATGGCAACTAACATTAAATACCTTTTTAGATTCTGTCAGCTATAAATTGTCCCAATTTATATATCTCATTCAAACCCATCCATTTGAACATTTGGAGTTCACGATTTGTGGAAATCGAATTCATTCCTGAATCAGCTTAATAATGGCATTTATCTACATATTTTCCGTTCTAGCTCATTAACAGTGAAAAAATTAAAGTGCAAGCACTTTCGTGTGATTTGAAATTAAACATAAATTGTAGAGTGTTTAACTTTATGATCCTTACAAGACGAAAACCTTAGAAGTATTTACTTTCTTGGGTTGCAATAAATCCACTGAATTATGGTTGCTAAGATTTCCTAAGAAAAAAATACCTTATCGCGTACCATTCCTCTTTATCGGTATTGGGGGTGAGTGCCCCCAATGTTTCCGTACCTTTAAAATCTATACGAAGAGCTTTTGCCTCAATGCAGTTGCGCTTTCAAACTGGTTATTAACGGTCATGGATCGGAGAACATGTCAGTGCGAAAACAGAAATGTGAATCCCCTTAAAAAGAAATTTTTAGCGGCTCCTTAAGAAATACTCACATAGTGAAACCGAAAAACTAAGGAATGAGATGGACCTTGTTAAAAACGAGCTGGAAAAAGCGTATGATGTTATTGATGAGATGGAATTCGAGTTAGAAAGCGTAAGTACTGTTGTAAGCAACTATTTTAATACAGTGTAATCAATTATTATCTAAGTACAGGTGGATTTACTGGCTCTCCAAAATCAGTGGCTACGCGATGAATTGCTGAAACTTAAAACGCAGGAAGATGATGTGATTCCTAGGAACGAGGTGGAGGACCCAGCATCCAGAAAGCAACGTCGCAGTTATCGGCAACAAGTTTCTGCAGGGATGTTAGACCCCCAGTTTAAAGTCCCACCCCAAGAGCAGCGATTCGGAATCGTTCTGGATTAAGATAGTTGCTAACTGATTGAAAAAAATTTATACTTTGCATGCCATAAACCGCTTCTGATAGCAATTTCGGAATTAAATTGAAAAGCTTTTCATTATTGTTATCCTTTCTAAAGATATAAATGTGAATCACAGAATTCACCGATGCGTAAAGTCTGATTTATTCTCATTCATACATTTGTGTGAGATACTTTTAGATATCGCAAGTACTCTTCAAATCAAATCAGCTTTCAATATATACCAAATTTTTGCTGCTTCTACATTGTTTATTGACACAATTTATTTATGTGTCTACACTTAATAATCTCTTATTGGATTTACTACACCTAAGCAGCTCTGAATTAATTGTGGTATCATTTATGGTACCTCGAAGACCACTTATGTGCCTAGGAATCCATTCGAACTCCATGCATAAATCAGCCCACTGTAATTTGCCTGTAAATAAATAAAATCAATTGCATTCCCAGCTCGGTTGCTCCTTTATCGAGTGGTTTGTTTGTGTAAGCGGCTTGTAATGCATTTGCAGCTCCCAAAAGAATACATTTTATGAGCTCTGGATATTAGATGGCTTAAGCTCAACCAACTGGGTCAAGTGTGTGCAATTTTACCTGTGACTTACTGGGAGTTAAATAAATAAATGGAAATAAATTTAAGGATTTTACAACACAAATTCCCAGAAAAAACACTACAACAATGTGAAGTTTCTCAAAATGTAGACTTTTATTTGATCGTGTCCCGACTCACGGTAATTTATATGTTTGCAGCATTTTTCCATAGACACAATAATTATTAAATATATGCAAGTAGAATTCCATAGGTATATTAATATATATGTATATATTTGTATCGCATTAGTTGTACGTGTGCTTTTGTAATTTATATTTACAATATAATAAAAAGTCGCGAGAGACCATTCGGCTATGGGTGAAATAAACTTTCAGTTTCGTTGGGGTTTTTATTGGCTTCATTTTGGGGGCCAAAGGTGTGTTGCATTAAATGTGTTTTCGTGTAGCTTTTCGTTAATGTAAGACATACCTAGTTAAAGATTTTTTGCGCGATTTTGCTTACACTTGAATATATATGTAGGATATTTATTTAAATTTCTCCCTTCTCTTTTCTTAGCTTTTCCCTTTTTAATTGGGTTAAAACGAGCAATTAAGACTGAGTTTAATCTGAGATGGAAACTTTCATAAATAGTGTCTTTCGGAGCAACAGTTTAACGTTTTTTATTTAAATGTTCGCCTTTTGGTATTTATAATTTCGATATCCGTTGAATATTTTTGTTTTTTCATAAAGCAGCAAAATACTTGTAAGAAAATATGCGATGAATACATGAGGACAGAGATCCGTAATAAATATATATGTACAATGAATAACAAACGATCTAAAGTAATGCAAATTAAAGCTCTGAGAAAGAGTCAAAGAATGGGTCAAGTTTTTAGTTGAGAAGTTGACACTCGTCCTTAACGTCCACAGGATGCGCAGCCCGGACTCCTCCGGTCGACTTAGACATCGGTCTCGGATCGCCGCCTCCGCCCGGGTCCTCCGGCAAAGTTGGCTGCAGCCAGACCCATGCGATGTTTCGCCTCCTGGGTTCCCGAATATCCCCGGGCCAACCCAAAGTCCACGGTTCGCTTGGAGCTGCGGAATAAATACATATTAACATGACTTGGTTCCACTTAGTTCTTTGTAAACAGGCAAACTTAATTAAAACTTATTGGCACCGCCCTTCATATTTAAAAGTTAGTTGTTGTAATTAACTTCTGTTTATATTATTATAATTTAAAATCATAATATTAGACGAATTGGATAGGATAAAGTACGAGGGCACTATGAATATGTCTTCATTTGTTTATAGCTCCTTTTAAAAAAATTCTAAAATTATTTTGAGTATGATGTTCGAAAAATAAAGAGTGTAACTTTTTAAATATTTTGACGAACTTACAAATCAAGAATTCGTTTGTCTGTAAATGCGGTTGAAATCTAGCAATGAACTGCTATTTTCCAACTTTGACCACCATTTTCTAAGAATTCGTGAACACATTTAAAAAGGTCGATTTAAAGCGGTTATAATTTATTTTAAGCATTTATCAAGGTTAAATTTGGTTAGCTTACATAGTGTTGTTTTAGAAAATTCTATATTGCTTAGAATACTTATTTTCCATTTTTATAACACTCATTGTTTATCTTTATTTTTTGAATTTGACTTTTAAGTTATACTAAAAAAAACCATGTTAAGTTACTGTGATAATTTTTAGCATATATCTTTACTTTTAAGGTTGAATTCTCTAGTTACAGTATCTTAAACAATTTAAAACTGGCTTTATAAAACCCCTCAGATGGTTATTTTTTTAAGAATAAGCCTAATGAGCATGTACATATTATTATTTCTGTTTTATGTTAATCACTTAAAAAGAGGATTTTTGCCCAATATAGGGGCTATGACTATCAACTGATTCTTAAGTTCAATACTCACTTCTCCAGATCGTTTCGTGCCCGTATTATGGTGCGTCCAAAGCGAGTCATCAGTTCCATCAGCAAATCGTCAGGGACCTCCTCCAGTTCGTTATAGCCAGGCCCATATCCGCCACCATTGGATTGGCTATTTAAAAACCAGCGAAATGGAAAATTAAAGTTTAGCCTCGTTGTATTTATACATTTGGGTACTGCGTACAAACAGGATATCTAATTACTTTGGCTCTGTTAAATTTGACATTCGGTTGGTTTAGAATCTTCATTTGCATGGGAACCCAATTATTTGTTAATGCCGAAATGTTTGGGCCATTTTCCATTCGAGCAATTGCTAATTAGATGGGCATTGCCAATGAATTTTTAATAGTGACTCTGACGATGGGAAATTGTGTTTTAAATATTCCCGAATTGTTATCTTTGCCTGCCTTAAATGTGCCATCTACTTATGTAAGCCACTCAAGTGTGTGGCCAAGTACTAGAATTTTTGGCACACTTTTCTGCCAACGTTTACATTTTATTAATTGAAAATTTTCATTTGAAAGTGATGGAAAAAGACGCTGACACTCGAAAGTGTGGTGTGAAAATTCATGTGAATTTTATATTCGGCAGTCTAAGTACATTTTCATCGCCCACATGGCCAAGACTTGTTTTAAACCAACATTGACTGGCGCTCAGTGGGGTAATTGCTTTGCTCAAATATTTGTATGCCACATTTTTTGGGTTTTTGCAGCTGAAGTGCCAGAATTTAATTAGGTTATGTCCCCAGCCAAATTGGAAAGGATATGTCTGTGGGATGTAGGATGTAGGATGTGGGTGGGGACTTAATATATAGGGTACAACTACCTGGGCATCGGAGCTCCCTCGATGCTCGAGATGGCCAAGAAGCAGAAGAGGAGGAAGGCCAAGGCGAAGCTAGCACATCGGTTTGTCATCATTGTGCGGCTGTCTCCTGAAATAGTTAAGAATATTTATGTATATTGGGGGAAATTAATACACTCAAAACAAGAGACTTTAAGAAATGAAATCAGGAAATTTAATTGATAAAATACCTTTAAGGAGTTGTACCGAAAACTAGAAAATGTATTTATTTACTAATATTAGTCCTTTGATTATTTATGTATATTGGGGGAAATTAATACACTCAAAACAAAAAAAATTAACAAAATAAATTGGAAAATTTAAATAATATAATACCTTGAAATTGTGTTTACCAAAAACTAGAAAAACTAATTATTTACTAATATTAGTCCTTGGATTATTCTTAAAATCATTATACTAAATCCAAATTGCAATTATACTTAATTGGAAAACCCCTATTTCCTAAAATCAAATTCATTTTAACCTTAATCTAATTATGGTTTTTTAAAAATAAATTTCCACTAGTCAAGAATCGCGGAAAACCCGAAAATATGTATTTAAAAATATAAGCTTTAAGGTAATAATAATAAGAAAACAATATTTTCTTAGAAAGTTTAAACATGTTAACCATTGACCTTTACAAAAATTATCATACATACATACATACGTGTTTAAAAGTATATCTTGATTTTATTATTTCCAAAATTTATTTAATACTATATTATATCATCGGTTTGGGATCCTTTTGTTATGGCATTTCTAATTAGTCAATTTTTTCCAAGTGTTTGTATAAATATTCCCGAAAGCCAAGCGGTTTAGTTTTCTAGGGTCAACATCAATCAGACACAATTAAAAATCGATTGGGAGGGTCGAGTTTACACTCAGAACGGAAGTCAGGTGGCAATGGCGACCAGGTTTTTCCATTAAGTGATTCATTAACTGCCCAACGAAGCAGTTCCAATCCCAACCCCATATCTGGGTTACCCTTCCTGTTTTCCGTCGGTTTTCCGTCGCTTTTCCCCCACCAACTCATTTGCATATGAACCAGGCTAACAGCGGCAATATGAACTGTTGTCCCCGTTTGGACCTCGACTTTTTGCATTGCTCAACTGCACTTCCACTTCCTGTCATCGTACACGGATGCGGAAGCCCCTCGCCCTTCCTCCCCAGCCACTTCTAAATGGTGTTGTCACTGTTGTGTTTACAGTTGCAAAACTATAGTCTCGCACAATTCACTGACATCACTGGCTACTCTTTGACATCTGTGGCAGTGCCCAAGTCCCCGAGGTACCCGAGATCCCCAGAGACCCCTCCTGACACCCGGTGACACACATCATTGCCCAGGCAACAGGCTGGACAAATGAATTGGCTCTCCAAGCTGATGGCTTCTGTCATTGCCTCCATAACACCCCACCCTCATCCGTCCCATCTTGGGAAGAGTCAACATTTTTTCCACTGCCAGCTGGGGATTTGCGGACTACCGGATAACACAGTTGGATAACCACCTCTCCTTGAGAGTCAATAAATCACAGAGATAGATGGAGTATTATAGACTCTAAACGTTTTCACTTGAGCTATTTAAAACTTAAAATTTAAAGTTCTTAGAAGATTGAATAGGTACATATCGCCAAGTCATACCTTATAAAAAACAATCCTGAACAATAAATCACAGATTTGGAAGGGTTTTGTATAGCTTCTGTACTCTTTCAATAATCTCGCTTTTTTAAATGCGTTGTATTCCTTAGAATAATCCCAATTACACCCAACTATTTTTTACAATATCTGTGGAATGAAATAAAAAAGAGATTAATGGTCTAACTAAATAAATGTGAGGAGCCCTCTTTAGACTGGAAACCTTATAGTAAATAATCCAGAACAATGATTTATAGAGACTTTTCATCACGAAGCGCATAAGCAAAATCCGAAGTATCCTTATTATGTATTTCTAATATGTGTAACAGGACGGGTTAAGTAGATAAATATAAAACCTTGGTTGCCAACTTAAAATCAAGGCCACAAATAAAATTAAATCGTTATCATCATAAAAATTAAGTTCTGCTAAGAAAATCCTAATAGTCTTTATTAATATAAATGTGGAACTCTTTAAGAAGTTAAAATCGTATGATCACCTACTTCTAGGAAAATCAAAAACAAAGTAATAAAAAAAACACGAAACTATTAACACCCACTTGAACTAGACGGCCTATAAAACACCCCCTTACCTAAGATTGTAGAACCCTCCAGCCTTGAGAGGGTAACCCAGACATTCCAAAAATATACTCAATGTACTC